TTGGTCCAAAACATTGCAAATGAGTTGGGCTGGCTCTATTAAATTACATTGGGTCCAACTGAAGTAAATGAGTTGAATCAACCTCATTTGCTTTAAATTGGAATTACCTTAATAAATTAAGTTGAACCAAAACATTTGCTTTAGATTGGAGTAACAGAATTGCATAGTGCTGAAACAAAGCAAAGTAATCAGGTGGAAATCCTTTCCATGATTTTTTTATGTTAATCCAAAGAGTTATTTCTTTGAGTGTATGACCTTGAGGTGATAATCAAGCTCTTGTCATCGTCTCGATGTTTCAGATATAACGATTTTAAAAAATAGTTCAAAATAAAATAGATTTACCTGCATGTTCTGACCCTGCAGATGCAGCCTCTCTTTGCAGACTCCCTCATAGAAGTCGTAGTATTCTAGAAAGGACTTCTCCATCACGCTGCTAAAAATCACATGCAAAATATTCCATGTTACGCCAGACAGAAAGATAAGAAGACAATACATGATCCTTAGTGAGAGTGTGTTTTGTCACCTCAGAGCGTCAGGACAAGGAACTTTGCCTTCCAGCATGTCACATACAGCCACCCTCATTGTCTCATGGCGGATACACTCATTGTAATTCTTACTGTCCCCTGGGTGGCGCTCCTTTAGGACACACAGTTCAAAAGTATTCTGTGGAGCTTCTGTTTAATGGAATGATAAAACTAACAGGAACTGACATGATGCAGTCCTGAGATGTTTGCTCTATTAGCACATATGGTTAATGCAAACATTCACTTCACCATGACAAACTGCTTTTGGCTTGCTCTGTTTTCAAATAATTTTCACATTTTGGCATTATTGCTTGTAGTAACATAATTACCCAGTAACATTTTTACATTTCCTATCAGCTTAACATCTTTTAATACAAAAACGCGGTGGATTGAATCAGTGCCCCAACCTCTGGGCTTAGCAAGTTTTCTTGGGGGAAACCCTGAACTGTTTAAATCCATTGCTGCCAAGATTTTTAATGATGTGAACAAGCTAATGCATGAACAAGCTTACTCATGTTTGATTTTACTTTCATTTCTTATTTAATGGAAACACTGCAACTGCGAAACACTAGCAGAATATAGACAAAGAGTTGCACACATTTGTAATGGAAACAATCAATTTGTGTTGCTGCTGTGTCACAGCTGCATGGTGTTAGCAGCCCTGCTAGGAGGCGCTACCTGCTCGAAGCCGGGCTCATTGTGATAGGGATTCTCCGTCATCAGGGACTGAATGGAGATGAGGACAGATGATATGCTCTGTGCTGGACTCCATGCTGGGCCAGTCCATGTCCTACACACACACGCACGCACAACAGCATAACTAATTCACATACAGTCATTACTGGAATACTTTCTATTTATAGCCAAAAAAATAAACATGATGGTATTTACCAGATTTTTTTTTATTATTTCATTTTAAGACTTAAAAAAAGTAACCTCCAGCCACATCAATATTTACTAAACAAATAAAAAGTACATCACAAAAATGCCCCAAACACATAAAATAAAAATTCAGATCACTGAAATCTAAAGGGAATGAGCTTTTCTTTAACATGTCTGTTATTTTGAGGTATGTACAACCTCAACATGACTTTTTAAAGGTAATTCATGTTACCAAGGCAAAATGTGTTTGTTATTCTGCCTGTGTGAATGTAGATTACTTAAAAACATGACTCCATGCTTTTAAGTATCTAATATGATCGGCGACTACAAAGTTAAGCAGAAAATGTGTATCATCCCAGAATTTTTTCTTTATCACAGGTGCATGTAGCAACACAACAAATGGACTTAAATTTCAGGATTCTAAAACAATGAAAAAGCACACAAAGCCAGAGAGGCAGACTCACCCCAGGATGCTGAGGCACACCTTGCCGTTGCGGTAGAAGTTGGGGTTAAAACGCACTGTGTTTTGTCCGGTTGTGATGAGCTTCACCCGGGGTGGATGGATGGGATAATCTGGGGGACAGCGGAACAAGAAAAGGAAGAAGCCGCCCTCATACGGTGTGTCAAACGGTCCTGTGATCAGAGCGTGGATCTAAAATGTGGAAGATAATTATGAAGCACAGGAAAGATTTTAATCGACTGGTAAAATGTAAGAAAAATACATCCAAATCTGTCAAATTTACTTGTCCATGCACTATCTAAGTAGTAACTACAGCTTTCTTTAAGAAAGAAAATGAACTGATGATGTCACAAAAATGTCATCAATTTAGTCAGAAGATCCGATTTCTCTAAATTAAATTAGAATAAAAATCTAACATGATGGTCATTTTTGCATTCAGCTGTGCAAATTAGTCCTAATTCAGTTGAAAAAAAAAAAAAAAAACTACTTCCAAAAATTATTTTTTGTAACCCAGTGCTTTTTTGTAAACTGGGTCAACATCCAGGGGTTTACAAACATAAACCCAGTTTATTTTTCCGCAAAAATTAAAATGAAAAAATAATTCCTTTGTCTTCTTCCTATAGTCCTGCTGTCATAAGAACAAATACACAGTTCGCTCACAAACAACCGTCACTTAGGAGGAGGGTCTGTCAATCACCCTCATGTTTGGGCTGCTAAATGTGCTAATGGCAGAAAAACAATTTACAGTTTCAAGAAAACAGTTTGTCCCCTGTCATTGGTGACTATGATAACTAGCCTGACCTGTCATGGTAGGCTCTGTTGTGGGAAAACCAGCTGTAGAGCAGCAGAGAGAAATGGTTAGGAGTTGATCAACACATACACTAGGTTGATTGACAGGGCTAAGACCCTCCTCCTGACTGACTGGTTGTTTCTGAGTGAACTGTGCATTTGTTCATATGGCTCTGTTTTTCTGTTTTTGATCAGGTGGAGGACCTAGATCTTTTTTGCAAATTATCTGTCTCTTAACACTGTCACGGCAATGGTGACAGTTTTAACAAATATGTAAAATATGTAAACATATTTTTTTTGTAAAAGTTACCTACTGCAGCTTGAAAGGATTGATAGCAGAAATTAAATGTCTGATTGAAGCCAGCAGGTAAAATGACATCTTGATAAAAATGAGTCAGGAATAACCACAGAGTGCCGCTATTAAAATGTTCCAGAATGAAAACAGGAGTATGAGGAGAACGCTAAAAGAAGGAAAGGAGGGGATCTGGTTAATGTGGGGAACATTTCCCACATGGTAACTAGTCTGTGTTCATTACCTTGGTCATGTCTTGAGGATCCGGAACAACAAACATCCCAGGGGGGGGTTCCTTGTATATGGACATAATATCCCTGCAATGAAAGGACATACAAACTAAAATACATTTATCATACAAATTAATGAACACTGCTGGTTCTATCATTGATCTTTTAAACACTGTTTAAGTTCTTTGAACTGCTATTATTCCAGCATAACCATACCTAAGATTGCTCTGGTCTCTCAGGTGGTTATTCCACTTTTCTCCACTCATCTGTCAAGAACTTCAGTGTAAAGTCTGACAAAGATTTTAAATTTGATAAGTTAGCAGGTTTTCTTATCAAATTTACAGTCAAAATTAAAGACTAGCTCCTTCTCAGTGATCTGGAGAAGGATCAAGGCCCTTGTACCATCATGGCTGGATTAATCCATGTGGTTCACCAGAAATTAATACATCATCTGACTGCAACTAGTGCAGTGCAGCAGCCATTCTTCTCATTGGTAAGCAAAAGCGTGACCACATAACATAACACCGATAACTTCCGTGGCTTCCACTGCCAGGTGTAGACGGTGAAATCCCTCCTGATATTGAGCATCAGAAATAACCTCAGATGGACAATTTATGGCTTAATTATGAATAGATGTTAAACAATAATTGCATTGCTATACAAATCTACATCCATCTTTATAAAATAAATTTTAGTTGCACTCTAAGCTATTAATGGTGCATGATTTTAGCAAATATTTAAAAGAACAGTCATCTTCAAGTCCTGAAACAAAAGTCTGATAATTTATTTTCCTACTATGTCATTCTGTTTCTCCTGGGTCTAATGCCTGGATCACTCACATTGAAAATGGTGTGGGTTTTCTGTATGTATATGGAGGTAGCTAGAAAGACTAGCTTGAATACAAAACGAATGTGTCTATAATGTGTCTATTAAATGGAATTGTATAGTCCTCTGGTATTCCTCCTCCTCATAATATGCATGTTATAAAATCTTGAACATCCAATTAAATATCACAATAAGGAAATAATTCCAAGTAGACATTTTATAAATTTATATGGAACAGATAAGGTGAAATTAATTACAGTAAGATGGCGTAAAATTCATTTCTTCCTTTTAATCGACTTTGTTTTCTCGTTTTCGTTTGGTGGGGGCAAAGCTTAGGTTTTGCTTTCACTTTCTGCTGAAGCTGGAACAGTGCTGCTAGTTTTTCGCTGCTTTCAATAACTAGGAAGTCAGCTTACCGTTCATTTTAAAACAAAGTGTTGAAACGGTAGAAGAAATTAAATGTCAACTTATTAGAAATGTGTGAGCGTCAGTTATAGTTGGAGCAGGTGGCATTGTGTATTAGGCTACAGAGAGGGGACTAAGTGCATATTCAATTCATTAAACCAAGCTGTAAAATAATCATGAATTACTTGGTATAACGTCCTCGACTGCAATTTTAATTAAGAGTTTAGTAATGGCAACACATACAAATAATAGAAACAGTCTCCAATTACTCTTTATTTACCTCTTTATCCTCAAAATGCACTGCTGGGATGCCTTCTCGTTGTCCCAGTCTGCACTAAGAGTCGGGTCCCAGGAAGTGGCGTGGATTTGGGACAAGAGGCCCCCTCCTGCCAATCCAGCCACCCCCAGGCCGACACCAGGCAGGGGTGAGGACGTGTGTACGATCGGGGACACGGCCACGACAGGTATCGAAGAGCCGGAGGTAAATGTGTTCCCAAACCCGGTGGCAGAAGAGGTAACAGCAGACATAGGGGACACTACAGCGGTCAGGCCACCCAGTGCCGCTGTAGTCGGAGAAGGAGAGGCCGAGTTCGGGCTAGGGTGCGCACCGCTCGCTGCAGGATGTTCTCCCGGCAAAGAGTTGGTTAAAGTGGGCAGCGGGAAGGCACCGCTACCTTGTCCGGGAACGCCTAAGTCATGGGAACTGCCGCTGTACTCTTCTCCAAAGCTGTCCGCCATAGCTTACGAGCTAGCAAGCTAGAGAAATCTGGTGTGCACTAACTTGTATTGAAACTTGTAAGCCTCATTGACTCTTGGGCAAGAAGTTCCCTTTACTTTTCTATTTACCAGCTCAATCGCAGAACAAGACGGCTTGAGGCGAGTCCAGCGAACAAGGGAATTCCTCCCACGACATGGTGGCTGTCCTTCGTTAGCTTAAATATATAGTTTTACCAACCCTCAATAAAGTGTTCCTTTTTAATCTGAATTCAAACTGTCTTCTCGCAACTGACGTCTGTTCTTCCGCTAAATGTTATCGATGTAATTATATGTGTTTGTGTTGAGAAAAAAAATGCTTTAAAATGACCAAATCACTATCGCAACTTCAGGAACATATCCCCGTCAGCTCTACTGGAAATGAGGAAACTTGAAATATCCGGTGAGGATTTTCAAAGTAAAATTCCTGTTTGGGACTTTTTTTTTTTTTTCAATGACCGGTTCAAAACCATGATAATAATTTCTTATCATAAAGCCGGAGCTGCAATAGTTTAATAAGTAGCATAATTTCTTCGGACAAATTCAGTAAGAATGAAAACAAATGGTTGCATCACTATACACATGATATGTCTACTTTTAAGACTGTACTAAAAAGGTTAATTTGCACAGGTGCATTATTCTGAAATAGTGCATGGACGAAACAGATCCAGCATGTGGAGGTAATCATAGACATAATATAAGAGTAGACCCCGCATTGGCCGCTCCGGCGCAGGAAATACGGCGGC